TAACTATTGTTTTACAGTGGTGCCTTAGAAGAGCAGAACAACTTCATAGACAAACCCTTTTCTGCAACTGTTGTTTTTAGTGACCTGTTAGGTATTATTTGTGTGTGGGGGGGTATTTTTTCAAAATGTGTGAGCCAGTAGACTTGGGGCTACCTGAATTGAGTTCAGTTAACATGTTTGAGCTGCCTGTCATCAGCTATGTTAGGACACAAAGTTGAATTCTTTCCCTCAGTGTTTACAGTCTAAGGGGAGAGAGAGAGATATAATATCATTATACTCTGGCATGTGCTACATGTTGTATAAAATAAGTATTCAGAACATGAATTTAATTTAGGGAAACTGTGGACAAAAATATAGGTCAGAGTTAATTTATATTTTTAATCTCTTGCATTTTACCCAGTGGTTTACTGACACTTTTTAGGGTGGGGGGGCAGAGGGAGAGGGAGAGCAAGAATTTTAAGCAGGCTCCACACCCGGCATGGAGCCAGACACAGGGCTGGATCTCACAATCCTGAGATCATGACCTGAGCTGAAATCAAGAGTCGGATGCTTGGGGCGCCTGGGTGGCTCAGTCAGTTGGGCATCTGCCTTCGGCTCAGGTCATGATCTCAGGGTCCTGGGATCGAGCCCTGCATCAGGCTCCCTGCTCAGTGGGGAGCCTGCTTCTCCCTCTCCCTCTGCCGCTCCCCCTGCTTGTGCTCTCTCACTCTCTCTCTCTCTCTCAAATAAATAAATACAATCTTAAAAAAAAAAGTCAGACGCTTAACTGAGCCATCCAGGCACCCCTAAATAATAATGTTTTTAAAAGTATTATTTTGTAGGGTAAGTTGTTACCTATTTTTTGGCAGCACCCAGACCAACTTACTATAGAAAGAAAAGCATTAAAGCAAATGATACTTGAACTTGATGAAAGAAAAAAATGCTTAACAAGTTTGTCTAGATTTATTTAAAATATCTTTGAAGACATTTGGAACTATTAAAGGATTTAGAAAGTGAATTCTTGTTTAGACTAGGTGGAGCATTACTTTCATGTGTTAATTTTTTTAAGTGAAGCTATATTTGAAGGTTTTAATTTCTAAATTCTATAAATTGGTTCATATTTTGCTGTGTCATTGGAAACATTTTATGTGTCCTATCTTGAACAATATTTTGGTTATAATTAGACTGTGAGCTCCTTGAGATTAGGGGACCTGGCTAGGCTCCAGCCAAGCTCAGTAATATATTTGTTGAATTAAGTTGTATTAAAGCAGCAAGAAGGGCACAGTTTGAGAATTTCTAAAATATTTTTCCCTATTTTTTCATTATGAAAAATTTCTAACATAACAAATTGTTGAAGGATAGTATAATGGTTATCATCTACCCTCCACCCAGATTCAACAGTTGTTTATATTTGCTGCATTTTAAAAATTCATTTTTTTGCTGAACCATGTATAAGTTGCAGAAATCCTAACACTACCTTTACATACTTGAGCATGTGTCTCTTAAAAATAAGATATTCTCCTAAGTAACCACAGGATTTTTGAGTCATTCTTGTAGAGATCAGGGTAATAATAATAGTGTACTGGCTCTATCATCTCTCACTTGTGTGGTCCTGGGCAAATTACTTCACATCCCTGAGCCTCAGTTTCCTTAGCTGCAGAGCACTTATCTCAGAGGAATATTACGAAGATGAAGTGTGTAAAGGCACCATTTTCGGTTGATAACGTGTTTTCCCATACAATACTCAACTGTGGTGAATTAATACCACACCCACCCTTGTTCCCAGAGTTGGAAACTTTTACCTTTTTTTCCCCATTTGTTGTTAACAAATCTTGTATTTCTATCTCGTAACATTTCTCAAACCTGTCCTGTTCTTCCCATTGCCATCACATTTCCTGCCTGTCAACAATTTCAGTCTCTCTTCTTCTGGTCCCATCCTCACCTCCTCATCCCTTCCTTACTGCCAGAGTTTATGCTCCCACATATAAATTTAATCTTGTTAATTTCCTGTTTAAAACTTTTCCCGTCACCTACAGTGCAAGGTCCAAGTTTCTTAACTCTAGCTTCTTTATACCTTCTGTCTCTGCAGCCTTATCTCTTATTATGCACGTTCCCTCCCTCCCCCCACCTCACTGAACACACAGATACAGTCCCCCAAACTGTAGCAAGCCATGGATAGCTCTCTAAATGTACTCTTTGTTACACACATCTGTGCCTGTGCTTGGTTGACTCACTGTATCTGGAATTCTACCCCACCCACCATCCTCTTTATGTCTGGCAAGTACTCATCTTCTCCCCCCTCCCCAACTTGCCTTTTAAGACTAGGTGCAGGTTCCTTCTCTTTTTCTCCCCCTCTCTGTCTACATTGTACAGTCATCTAGCATAATACCTGTAACATTTTTGGACAGCCATTTGCTTGCATGTCTGCCTCATTCTGCTAGGTTAGAAAGTCCTTGAGGATACACAGGTTTTATCCCTTTTTGTATTCCTAATATCTAATATGTTGTACCAGGGATAAAATAAATGTAGATATTGAGTCTACATTTTGTGGGTGAAAAAAATCCAAGGTTCAGAGAATAATCTTTATGTGCCCAGAGTAACAGAACTAATTAATGAAACATTCAGATCTTTAAGAGCCCATTTCAGTATTGTTTCCATTAACTGTAATGGTTCTTAGTCTGTGTACTTAGAGCCCCCTAGAGGATGTTAAGAGTTCCCACATGGAAGTCTATAAAGTCATACATGAATTTTCTGTAAATTGAGTTAATACAATTATATAAGTATATGTATGTTACCAGTTTTTCTTAATGTACCCACATGGTTTTGTTATTAACTTAACAACATCTTAGTGGACATACTTATATATATTTTTTAAAAAGATTTCATTTACTTAGAGGGGGAGGAGCAGAGGGAGAGGGACAAGCAGACCCCCATGCTGAACACAGCCTGTCACGGGGCTTGATCCCACAACCCCCAGATCATGACCTGAGCTGAAATCAAGAGTCGCATGTTCAACTGACTGAGCCACCCAGGAGCCCATACTTTTATCTTTTGAGGGGAGAGCAGTATGAGGGCCTTCATGATATAGGTGATTTGGATTTAGATTTATTTATTTTAGAGAGAGAGAGGTAGCACGAGTGGGGGTGCAGAGGGAGAGGGAGAGAGAGTCGCAAGCAGACTCCAAGCTGAGTACTGATCCTGACTCGGGGCTCCATCTCATGACCCTGAGATCATGACCTGAGCCAGAACCAAGAGTTGGACGCTCAATTGACTGCACCACCCAGGTGCCCCAAGAAAGTAGTTTTTGAAAGCAGTAAGATTCAGGTTAGATGGTGAGATCTGAAATTTTCTTAGTCTTTTTTTTTTTTTTAAAGATTTTATTTATTTATTTGACAGGGAAAGAAACAGTGAGAGAGGGAATACAAGTGGGGGAGAGGGAGAAGCAGGCCTCCCGCTGAGCAGGGAGCCTGATGCAGGGCTCGATCCCAGGACCCTGGGATCAGTGGTTCATTAAAATAAGAAAGTTTAGGGGCGCCTGGGTGGAGTGGCTTAGTCGTTAAGCGTCTGCCTTCGGCTCAGGTCATGATCCCAGGGTCCTGGGATCGAGCCTCACATCGGACTCCTTGCTCAGTGGGAGGCCTGTTTCTCCCTCTCCCACTCCCCCTGCTTGTGTTCCCTCTCTCACTGTGTCTCTTTCTGTCAAATAAATAAAATCTTTAAAAATAAATAAATAAAAGAAGAGAGTTTAAAAATTTCTAAAAATAGGGGTGCCTGGGTGGCTCAGTCTGTTAAGCATCTGCCTTCAGCTCAGGTCATGTTGGATCTCAAAAAAAAAAAAAGTGTGGTCTGGCAGGCATTCTAGGTTCAAGGGTATAGCTTAAGTAATAATGCTTTAAAATATGTGTGCTATTTCTATCAGTTTGTTTAGCTACTAGATAAACAAGTTCGTGTGATTTCATTGATTCTTTTGGCAAATATTTGTTCACTTCTTGCTATGAACCAGGTTCTCTGCTCAGCCCTGAAATTACAGCTGTGAGTGAATAAAACAGACAAGCCTTACCCCTCCTTGGTGGCCCTTACCTTTTAGTGGGGGAACCATACTCTCAGCATAATGAACATGCAAATAGGTATCTGTAATATAATGCTAGACAGAGGCAAGTACTTTTAAAAAAGGCCAGAAAAGGGAATAGGAAGTGATAGTTTCTATTTTAGGATTTATCTGAGAAGGCCTTTCTACATAGACATTTGAACAGAGAGAACTGAGTGAAGTAAAGGTACTCGCCGTGCAAAGAAAGCTGGAGGAACAGCCTTCCAGACAGGGATCATCAAATGCAAGAGGCTTTGAGGAAGGGGCATGCTTGGCCTGTTCAAGCAAGGAGGCCAGTGTGTCTGGAGCTATGTGAGCAAGGGTAGAATGGTAGGAGATGAGGTTGGAGAAGTAGTCAGGGGTAGAACCTTTAGATTTCATTCTAAATGTAATGTAAGCCTTTGGATGGTTTCTATAAGGGAATAAGGTGATCTGACTTAAGTTTAAAGAATACTCTATGCTATGTAGAGAACAGACTCGAATAGTACAAGAAAGGAAAGAGGGCAATCAGTTAGGAAGTGGTGGTTGTAGACCTTTGGGTGAGAGATGATGATGGACGTGGTGAGAAGTAGATTGGAGATGAATTTTGAAGATCGAGTCAACAGGTTAAGTTGATTGCAGTGTAGAAGGGAGCAGTCAAGGAAACTCTAATGCTAATAAACAGTTACTAGACTTAAAAGAAATACGTTTTTACTGTGGCGGTCTCTGAGCAGTGGCCTTACGAGGAGCTTTTTTTTTCTTTTCTCTTAATCTGTATTTACCAGTTTTTCTATCCTGAACCTGTAATGCTTCTGCCAAAAATATATAGATTATTTTAAAATCAGAGTTAATCATGATACTGAATGTAGCCTAATTCTTAATGTATTCTCTTATCCGTTTTGATTTTGGAAAACAGTCTAAGTGACACAAAATTTCTAAACCTTTTTACTCTTAGTGATCAGCCTTTGTACCTTCTCCACATCTGAAGATGGTGAAGCTGGATATTCATACTTTGGCCCATCACCTTAAGCAGGAACGCTTATATGTGAACTCTGAGAAACAGCTCATTCAGAGGCTCAATGCAGATGTACTTAAGACAGCTGAAAAGTTGTATCGTACAGCATGGATTGCTAAGCAACAGAGAATTAATTTGGATCGGCTTATCATAACCAGGTAAAAAAAAAAAAAGGTTTTGAGGCGTTAAATTTTATGAACCACTGTAATTCTGTGCAAACTATAAATAAATAAATCTATTTCCAACAAAGTGTATGCCTTCAGATAGTTTGAATCAACGTTAAGGTGAGTCTTTGCTTATTTTGTCTGTTAATTAACTTAAACCTTTTATAGAGAATTATAACTTACGCATTAATATTTTATACCACACCAATTAATTTTCTATCTTTGTATAATAACATTTTATTGTTGCTGAGAATAAATTATCTTGTGTTCTTTTTTTTAAGTAGTCTCCACACCCAACGTGGGGCTTGAACTCACTCCCCTGAGATCAAGAGTCACACACTCTACCCACTGAGCCAGCCAGGCGCCCCTGTACTTTTCTATTATTATTATTATTAAAGGTGCCCCTGTACTTTTCTATTATTATTATTATTATTATACTAAGATTAAGACAATTTATTTTGAGTAATCTCTATACCCAACACCGGGCTCAGACTCACAACCCCGAGATTAAGAGTCACATGCTCCACCAATTAAGCCAGTTGCTCCCCTTTTCTCCTGGTATTATTTAATATACAGTTGGCCCTTGAATACTGGTTTGACCCATGTGGGTCCACTTATATGTGGATTTTTTTTTTTTTTAAGATTTGATTTTATTTAGTTGACAGACGCAGCGAGAGAGGGAACACAAGCAGGGGGAGTGGGAGAGGGAGAAGCAGGCTTCCCGCGGAGCAGGGAGCCCGATGTGGGGCTCGATCCCAGGACCCTGGGATCATGTCTTGAGCCGGAGGCAGCCGCTTAACGACTGAGCCACCGAGGTGCCCCTACTTCTCAGTTTTAGAAACCTCTTTTTCACTGCGTTAATACCTTATTCTGTTGTTTCAAGAAGTTTTTAGCTCTAAGAGTGGTACTGAGGTATAATTTTGAGAAAAGGAGGCAGATACAGAAAAGTACATACTGTATGATTCCATTTATGTGAAGCTGAAAAAAGCAGGACTGATCTTTGATCATAGAAATCAGAAGAGTGGTTATTTTTTGCTATTTTTCATTGAACCTGATTTACTAGGATGAATTTGTCCTCCTTTGTACTTTTTGGTTTTGCCTTTCTTTACATGTTCAGATGCTGGTGGGCTCAAAGATTTGAGCAGTTTGGGGTGATCGCATTGCTAGGACTATAATCAGTCTACATTTCCAGGTTTCAATGGAATATATGTATTGTATTATTTTTATTGATTTTATTGTTTTGCTTGTTTGCTCATTTTTTAGTGCTGAAGCTTCCCCTGCTGAATGTTGCCAACATGCCAAGATTTTGGAAGATACACAGTTTGTTGATGGATATAAGCAACTGGGATTTCAGGAGACCGCTTATGGAGAATTCTTGAGTCGGTTAAGGGAGAATCCTCGTCTTATTGCCTCCTCTTTGGTTGCTGGGGAGAAACTTAATCAGGAGAACACACAAAGTGTTATTTACACAGTTTTTACCTCCCTCTATGGCAACTGCATTATGCAAGAAGATGAAAGCTACCTCCTTCAGGTTTTGAGATACTTGATTGAATTTGAACTTAAAGAAAGTGACAACCCCAGGCGACTTTTGAGGAGGGGAACTTGTGCCTTCAGCATCTTATTTAAACTTTTTTCTGAAGGACTGTTTTCCGCCAAACTTTTCCTCACAGCTACTTTACATGAGCCAATCATGCAGCTGCTTGTTGAAGATGAAGATCACCTGGAAACAGATCCAAACAAGCTAATTGATAGGTTCTCCCCATTACAACAGGAAAAACTCTTTGGAGAGAAAGGCTCAGAGAGATTCAAGCAAAAGGTTCAAGAGATGGTGGATTCCAATGAGGCCAAACTGGTGGCTCTGGTGAACAAGTTTATTGGTTATCTCAAACAGAACACATACTGCTTTCCACATAGTTTGAGGTGGATTGTGTCACAGATGTACAAAACCCTCTCCTGTGTAGATAGACTGGAAGTTGGGGAGGTCAGGGCAATGTGTACTGATCTCCTGTTGGCCTGCTTCATTTGTCCTGCAGTTGTCAATCCAGAACAGTATGGAATAATTTCTGATGCTCCTATTAATGAGGTGGCAAGATTTAATCTGATGCAGGTATGCTTTTGCTATTATCATTAATATGGCATTCAGTTGAAAATCAGTTGAGTGAGTAGTGGGGTGGAACAGAAAATATGACAATATGTATATATTCTTACCATTCCCTTTCCTCAAACTGGCTTAAATATTTGCTTCTTAAGAAAAAAAAGCAGTTATGGGACACCTGGGTGGTTCAGTCAGTTGAGTGTCCCACTCTTGGTTTCAGCTCGGGTCATGATCTCAGGGTTGTGGGATTGAGCCCTGCTTTGAGCTCCAAGGTCTGGCTCCACCTTCAGCGGAGAGTCTGCTTGAGAGTCTCTCCCTTTGCTGCCCCCTGCTTGTGCACGCATGTGCGTGCACATGCACACACACTCTCTCTGAAAGAAATAAAAAAATAAAAGCAGTTATATTGGGATTTAAAAATATTGTAGTCATAAAATATTTTGTTAGTTTTGGGGGCATCTGGGTGTCTCAGTCTGTTAAGCATCTGCCTTCAGCTCAAGTCATGATCCCAGGATCCTGGGATCAAGCCCTGAGTCGAGCTCTCTGCTGCGGGGAGCCTGCTTCTCCCTGTCCCTCTGCCTGCCAACTCCACCTGCTTGTGCTTGCTGTCTCTCTCTCTCTCAAATAAATAAATAAAATCTTAAAAATATATATATTTTGTTAGTTCCCCAAAGATTTATTTATTTTAGAGAGAGAGGGAGAGCACATGAGTGAGGGGAGGGACAGGGGGAGAGGGAAAGAAATCCTCGAGCAGACTCCCCACTGGGCTTGGATCCCAACGTGGGGCTCGATCCCAGGACTCTGATATCATGACCTGAGCTGAAACCAAGAGTCAGATGCCTAACCGACTGAGCCACATAAGTGCCCCTTGTGTTAGTTTTTATTTATTTATTTTTATTTTTAATTTTTAAATATTTATTTGAGAGAGAGAGTGTGAGAGGACAAGTTGGGGTGGAACAGAGGGAGATGGAGAAGCGACTTCCTGCTGAGCAGGGAGCCTGATGTGGGGCTTGATCCTGGGACTCCAGGATCATGACTTGAGCTGAAGGCAGTTGCTTAACCAACTGAACCACCCAGGCACCCCTAGTTGATTAGATTTTCTAGAACAGGGCCACCATCCCTTTCCTGTGATTTCAAAACCCAGCGTGATTGAAAATATTTATACATCATCTTTTATACATTATTTGGTAGCAAAACCTGACTTGAACTAACGTGAGACTATTTATCACTGCTAGTTATTCCTTTTAGGGCATGAATGCTCATGTTTTGCTGCAGAAATGCGAATACATTTGATTATAGGATGCTACCCTTAATACTGCCTATTTTACATGTATGCACTAATCAGCCTTTCTAAAATCTTCAAATTTTGAAATCTGAAACTCTTCTGGACCTCAGTTTCAGAAAGAGGAGTTTTGGATTTATGTTAGCACTTTTCCCCTTTATCATGAGAACTACCGGAATCATGTTACTTATTTTTTTTTAGAGAAGAGGAGGGGGGAGGGGCAGAAGGAGAGAGGGGGGAGAGAGAGAATCCTAAGCAGGCTCCACGCCCAGTGCAGAGCCCGATTTAGGGCTGGATCTCACCACCCTGAGATCATGACCTGAACTGAAATCAAGAGTCGGATACTGAACTGACTGAGCCACCCAGCCACTCCCATGTTATTATTTCATAAGGGAATCTTTTAATCATATCCTATCCTCCAGAAATACTGTAAAGAAGAAACTGAGTTTATTTAGAATATAGTATATCTTTGGGTGGTATTTTTTTTTAAAGATTTTATTTATTTGACAGAGAGAGAGTGAGAGCAGGAACACAGCAGGTGGAGTGAGAGAGGGAGAAGCAGGCTTCCCGCGGAGCGGGGAGCCTGATATGGGGCTGCATCCCAGGACCCTGAGATCATGACCCGAGCTGAAGGCAGACGTCCAGTGACTGAACCACCTGGGCACCCCTGGATGATGTTTTTTTAATAATAAGTTTTTTCTTCCCATGGTCATTTCTCTTATGTTGGTATGTTTAGCAATTAACTATATAAAAATCCCCAAAATAAAATTTAAAGTTTTTTATCATCTATGAAACAATAAATTTATTAAGATAGTGTAGTTGTAGGTTTTTATTTTGTCATTCCAGTAGAGATTGAATCACTTATTTTCTCAAAATGAGTAAAAAAGGGAATTGTACCAGATATTAAGATGATACTGTATGATACAGGCTTTCCCCAAAGTGTCTTTAAAGAGTAGATTAGGGTCGCCTGGGTGGCTCAATCGATAAGCGTCCGACTCTTGATTTTGGCTTAGGTCATGATCTCAGGTTTGTGAGATCGAGCCCCATGTTGGGCTCTGTGCTCATTGGGGAGTCAGCTTGAGACTCTCTCTTTCCCTCTGTCCCTCCTGCCTCTTCTGAAATAAATAAATAAATCTAAAAAAAAGTAAAGAGAGTAGATTAACAGTTCTTTTACCAGTAAGGAACTTGCTCTGTGAATTAACATTTACTTTCCAAGCAGCTCTGTTCTGTAGGATTTTTTAAATCTAGAAAAAAAATTCTACTTTGAGAATTTTGTGAACTATAAAGGGAAAAGTACTTAATATTAACTTCAGGTAATTTGAATCAACTTTTGCAGTGAATTTTAAAATTCCTAAATGTATGAAAAGTATAATACCAGAAACAAAGGTATTACATTTTTATTCCATATTGTCAATGTAATGTTAGAATAAAGTTTTCTATTTATTGTCTATAACTCTAAATATAGTAAAAGCTGATGTAGAGAAGATACACATTTAATTTGGGACCGTACTTTGCATGCCTGGTCAGATGGTGTAAATATTATTAGGAAACAGCTTTTTAGACTAGAATGGAAGCAGTTTCATAGAGAAGAATTTGTAAGTATCTATAGCCCATGTCTCCCAACTACTGCTTTGGGTTACAGGTTGGCCGCCTTTTACAGCAATTGGCAATGACCGGCTCTGAAGAGGGAGATCCCCGGACAAAGAGCAGCCTTGGAAAATTTGACAAAGTAAGAATGAATACTATCTTGTGTGAAATACCATTTATAGAAAATTTTGCCAAAGTATTAGTGAACTTAACTATTGTCTTTCTTAAATCTTGTCCTTTAATTTATTAAGAATAAATTACTCTTTCCAATTACCCTTGGTATAGCTATAGAGAATACAATGTTGGATCAGCAGCATTTAAAGGAAGATGTAACTAAAGATTACTAATTCTCACTTAATTGAAGTGTTGAGGAGATGCCACTGTAATGAGAGCCAAGAGCTTTTAAGATTATTTTATTTTAAAAATTTGATCAGGCGCCTGGCTGGCTCAGTAGAGCATGCATGCAACTCTTGATCTCGGAGTTGGAGTTCTAGCCCCATGTTGGATGTAGAGATTACTTTATTTTATTTATTTATTTATTTATTTAGAGAGGGCATGCATATGCAGGCAGGGGGAGGAGCAGAGGGAGAGGGAGGGGGAAAGAATTTCAAGTAGACTTCATGCTAAGTGCAGAGCCCCATATGGGGCTGAATCCCATGACCCCGAGATCCTGATCAGAGCAGAAACGAGGAGTCCAATGAGCTGTCCAGGCTCCCTGGGCATAGAGATTACTTTAAAAAAAAAAAAGTCTTAAATAGGGTGGCTCAGTCAGTTGAGTGTCTCATTTTTGGGTTCTGTTCGGATCATGATCTCACGGTCCTGAGATTGGCCCAGGTTAGGCTCTGTGCTCAGCTGGGATCTGCTTTAGAGTGTCTCCCTGTCCCTTTCCTTCTGTCCCTCCCCACTGAGTGCATGTGTGTGCACACACGCATACATACTCTCTCTCTCTAAAATGGATGAATAAATCTTTAAATAGTGTAATTAAAAAAATCACAGAAGCAAATCAGTGACAATTGTATAATTTTAAGTGTATTTCATAAATATGTTTTATAGCATTGTTCAGTTAAATTAGATTTTAATCATATTTGAGTAGGCTATACATTCAGCCTTATTTATTTATTTATTTATTTATTTATCTTAAGATTTTATTTATTTTTCAACAGAGAGAGAGACAGCGAGAGAGGGAACACAAGCAGGGGGAGTGGGAGAGGGAGAAGCAGGTTTCCTGCTGAGCAGGGAGCCCGATGTGGGACTCGATCCCAGGACCCTGGGATCATGACCTGAGCCAAAGGTGGGCACTTAACAACTGAGCCACCCAGGTGCCCCCCCCATTCAGCCTTATTTAAAATTCAGAGGTTATATAGTGAAATTCCACTTTCACCTCTGATCTCTAACCTTTATTTCCTCCCCAAAAGGTTCTCGATGTTCTCAGTCTTTCTTGTTTCCTTCAAGAGGTCTATATGTATACAAGCAAATTCTTACATATATTTTCCCAGTCACCCCGTCCATCCCTTTTCACAAATGGTAGGGGAATGTGCACTGTTCTGTGTCATGTTTGTTTCACATACCAGAATTTCATGGAGACAGTTCTATGTCAATTCAAAAAGAGTTTAATTTTTTCATTGTTGGGTTTAATACAATTTTCAAGAAGAAAAACTTTTGCATGCTTGTCTACCTTAACCAGAAATGTTGTCCCCTTATTTTAAAGAGGAAATATTTCACTGTGATCTTTTCCTGTTTAACAGAGCTGTGTTGCTGCTTTTCTTGATGTTGTGATTGGGGGCCGTGCAGTGGAGACCCCTCCAATGTCCTCCGTTAATCTTCTGGAAGGATTGAGCAGAACTGTGGTTTATATAACCTATAGTCAGCTTATTACTCTGGTAATGGCCTTATTCTTTAATAGGATTTTCTCAAGAGTAATTTATCTAAGCGTGGGCAGAGTCATAGATGAGTACATTGTGTGAGAAATAGATATTGTGTTTGAAAAATTGATCTCACTAGCTAATGTCCTTTTACCTTTGCCAGGTGAATTTTATGAAGAGTGTGATGTCTGGAGATCAACTGAGAGAAGATAGGATGGCTCTTGACAATTTATTGGCAAACCTGCCCCAGGCAAAGCCAGGAAAAAGCAGCAGTTTGGAAATGACTCCCTATAATACTCCTCAGCTGTCTCCAGCAACCACTCCAGCAAATAAAAAGAATCGATTGCCTATAGGTAAAGAGCATTTCTCATATTTGGGGTTTCCCTTAAATTTAGTATTTTTTTATTGGCCTTCATTACTGCTCAGTGTTTTGGAATATGGTTTTAAATAATTTGGGAAAGCCTTTCCCTTTGTGTTTACTGATACTAATACAATTTTAAAAAATTGCACCAGTTAGTTAAGGTTTATGTGTAGGCTTTAGCTTTATCTAGACATACTTTTCATAATTAATGGAGATCATGCCACCTACAGTATACTTTATTGATATTTTCGTAACTTTTTGGGGAAAATTTGAAAGTGTCAGTATTTGAATTATGTAGCCCTGTCATTTCTTCAAAGTTCTAAATAATATAATAAAATAATAACTTAGAGGTTTCTGTCGGTAAAGTTGAAAATACAGTTACAACTTTTCCATTATTGTTATTTTTAATAATCTTTTATCAAGTGAGCTAAGGTTATCTTTGTTATTTTATAAAATAAAGGTTTCATTTTGTCAAGCCCAAGAATTGGGTTTAGTTAAGTTTTATTCACTTAGTAAACATGTTATCTATAGACACACATATTTAGCATTACCATGTACTCTGTACCAGACTCTGGATGAGCACTTTATAGATGTTGTTTCATTTAATTCATGCAAAAAAATCCATGCAAAAAGAGTAGGTGTAATCACTATCCTGCATGGGGGGCACCGTGTTAGACACTGGGGATACAAAGACCGTTAGGGTATGCCGTTGCTCTGGTAGTTGCTGATAGTCTAGGGGAGAATAAGAGGAGACCAGTTGCCGTCATTATGCTGTGTTTGATGGAGATAAGCGTACATGGAGGCTTTTGGGGCACCCATGTTGGCAATAGTGTCAGGAGAAGATCCTGGAGACAGTAAAGCTTATACTTTCTCTTGAAGGATGAATGGGAGTTAGGCAAAGTAGACCAGAGAGGGAGAGAAAGAGTGTTTAGGCCAAGGGAGCAGTGTTTTAGTACCAATTTTTTAATGAAAATGAGCTTAGCAACAGTTAGTGAACATTAATAGTTACTTTATTTTACACATTTTGAAGAATGGGATTTCATTTTTAAACTTCCATGAGCTGGTTTGTTAAGAACTGACAGTTTCTTAAAATTAATCCATCTTACATTTAACCTAATATGGAATAATATCATCAACAAAAATATGGCATCATATTCTTCAAGTCTTTGGCTTTCATCATCCCAAAATGTCAGTTTTCAGAATTAAAAATAGAAAAAAAATGAAGTTTGACACTCAGTGATTTTTTAAAAATATTTATTTATTTTAGAGAAAGAGAAAGGGAGTGGGAGCACATGAGCAGGGCAGGGGGCAGAGGGAGAGAGAGAGAAAAGCAGACTCCCCACTGAACGTGGGGCCTGATGTGGGGCTCGATCTCACAACCTGAGATCACAACCTGAACTGAAATCAAGAGTTGGGCGCTTAACCAACTAGCCACCCAGGTGCCCCAGCACTCAGCTATTTATTTATTTATTTTTAAGATTTTGTTTATTTGCTAGAGAGAGAGTGACAGTACAAGCAGGGGGAGTGGCAGGCAGAGGGAGAAGCAGGCTCCCCGCCGAGCAAGGAGCCCGATGTGGGACTTGATCCCAGGACCCTGGGATCATGACCTGAGCTGAAGGCAGACGCTTAACTGACTGAGCCACCCAGGCGTCCCAGCACTCAGTTATTTTTAATATTATAACCTGTTTGCACTTTTTTAACATGAAGAAATAAATGATTTTTAGTAAATCAGAGATTTTTTCCTCCATTATGCACTCCTGTACATTAATTCTTTCATTTCTTGTCATCTCTAAGTATCATTAAATATGGGTATAATGGAAAATAAACTTCAAATGTTTGCCCACTATTACTTTGTATAGTCATATGACCTGGTCATTGAATTTATTTCATATTTTTAAAAAATGTGTCCATTATTCAGAGGGTTGATTTTCTTTCTGTTTAATGCTTTCGCAACCCAGGACAACAGTTAGCAGCCATCACTGCCTGGGATTCCTCAGCCACCAATCTCACTGCTCATATTACTCTAGTAACCCCATTTGGTGGGTAATAGGCTGTTCTTCCTCTTCTTATATAACTTTCATTTAAGAAATAGTATATGAAAGTGTGCTCCATGTGCATGTTGCTTTTGCTTTATGTAAATTGCTACATGGATTTTGATTACTTGCATTTTTATAAATTACAAGGTTTGTTGCTTAAGATTCATGTAGTTGTTCATAAAGTTGGATTTAAGTTCACAGTTCAGTAGAAGACAGTGAGTGAGGGTCAGCAAATAAAAGGTGGGAGTGAGCCTATGTTCGGCTTTTGGAAATTGATCTGTACTCTGGATTTTGAAAGTAAGAGTGATTAATGAACAGATCTACAGCATTGTGTAGAGGACTCTATATTTCTTTTTTTTTTTAAGATTTATTTATTTATTAGAGAGAGTGGGTGCACACACAGGGTGGGGAGGGGCAGAGAGAGAAGGAATGGGAAAGAAGCTCAAGCAGACTCCCCGCTGAGCGCAGAGCTTGACATGGGGCTCAATCCAACAATCCTGAGATCATGACCTGAGCCAAAACCAAGAAACCAGGAGTCAGAAGCTCAACCGACTGAGCCCCCAGGTGCCGGAAGAGGATTCTTTATATTTCTGTCTTCAAGTAGGTCAGCTTTCACTCAAAGTGAAGTTGAAAGACTTTTGTTATTATAGAGTGTTTTTGCTTTATGTCCGTACTTTTGATTATTTTGCACTGAAGTAGAATTTCTCTTTAGTATTCCAGTTGTACTGAATTTTACTGCCCTCTGAAAGAAATTTGAAGCTTATCACGGAAGACTTAAACTCATAGAGAAATTGTCAAACTATCTAAATCTTCCAGTATCTAAAAGTTCTTGTAAGATGTGTAGGATGATTATTTTAGAAAAAAAGTATTACTTGTTTTTACTTATAGGTAAAACTTGCTTACTTATAGAAAAAAGCACCCCAAAATAATTAGATTTTTCATTAATTTAGAATGTTTCTATAAAGCAGAAGGGAAGTCTTTTTCCTGCATTTTTGGAAGGAGATTAGTACATTTCAGGAAAAATCAATGTGTCTTCAAAAACTGATTCTGATTTTGTCAATGGTTGTCCAATTAGCATATATTACTTTATATGGCTCTCAGATTTCTGTATGAATTTTTTGATGCTTGTAAGTTCAGTGGCAGTTAAATCCTTTTATAGGAGAAATAGTTGAAGGTATCTTGATAAGAAATAAGGTAGTGCTCTTCTTGTTACCCCAAGCCTTAAGTTGAGAGATGTGTTTGCTGTTCTGCAGGTGTGCTCATGTGTGTGTCACTCGATGTCAGATACACATAGACTATTGTTTCTATCAGTTTTGAAGGAGAATCTTTGTCAGTCATCAGAGTAACTGGGAAGATGTAGGGGTTTTTTTTTTTTAAATTCATATTCTCACCACTCTTTTTTTGTGCATGTGCAAATGTCCTACATTAATAGAAGATACATTTTTGTATTTACCATTTTCTTCATCTTGTCCTCTAAATTATCATATTTGAAAATTTTTTTATTAGCAACTCGGAGTAGAAGCCGCACCAATGTGCTAATGGACTTGCATATGGACCATGAAGGGTCATCTCAAGAAACCATCCAGGAAGTACAGCCAGAAGAGGTGTTGGTCATTTCCTTAGGGACAGGTCCCCAACTCACTCCAGGGATGATGTCGGAAAATGAGGTATGAATGTATTGTTAATTTAACTTATAGCCATCAATATTAAGGAATTAGGTTCTTTTTTTTCTCATTCATGGTCTCTTGCTTCTATAAGTCAGTGTGCATTTAATGAGTGCATTAAATGCCAAACTCCCTGTGAATAGTTCTGGGGGCCTTTCACATCAATATATTGAATTGATAGCATGGTAGTTGGTGATTAGGTCTACACCAAAAGGAATTTTCCTCATTGTATAGAAGAGACAGGAAGCCAGGAAATTGTAGTATGGAAATTGAAAAGACTTTTCCAGTGACCTCTAGGAAATGTTTTTTGTTTCTTTTCTTTCTAATGATATAGTGGTATTCTTGCTTTAGAAAGCCAGACATTCTTTAGAAATACTCTGTTCTTTGGTTGATTAGGAAGAAATGGAAGACAGAACTGAAAACTTTCAAGAAAGTAAAATATTTTGAAGAAATGGTCTTGGGATGTGGGCATCGCTTTTAAGATATTTGTAAACAGAAGAGCTTGGGACAGAGGCAAAAAGAATGAAGAAATCAAAAAGAAGCAACATTTTATATTCAACATGGACTGCTTATTAGTCGAGAAAACCTATTCATGGGGCGCCTGGGTGGCTCACATAGTTAAGCGTCTGCCTTCGGCTCAGGTCATGATCCCAGGGTCCTGGGATCAAGTCCCGCTTTGGGCTCCCTGCTCAGTGCAGAGCCTGCTTCTCCCTCTCCCTCTGTCATTCCCTCTGCTTGTGCTCTCTGGCTCTATCTCTCTGTCAAATAAATAAATAAAATCTTTAAAAAAAGAAAACCTATTCATGACCTGGAACAAAGGGACCAGTTCTAGTGGCCGATGAAATGATGATAGTGGTTGATACAGCCGTATTTGGAACTGTGTGTGGCATGACCGTTAGGAAAGAGTTCTATCAAACTCCAGAACTCTGTATGTATACACACACACACACACACAAATGAGCTGGCAAAAACTGTCTGAATTAACTTTTTAGGAACTCTGGAATGTAATAAACTTTATAACATCTAGGGGAATGTTGAATGAGGCGAAACAACTGCTGAATTTCAGTCAGGGAGCTCTGTGGCATTTTACCTTCCCGTGTTAACCTTCCTCCAGTTCCCAGCTCTGGCAGCCTTGAATCCCTGTGCAGGGAGATATCTTCATTATGGTATGAGCCTTTTGTTTGCTGTTAATCTTATCATTCTCTAGGCCTTCAGATTTTTCCTGAAGATTCTTTGTATGTTGCTCACTATGAGTTTAAAGTACCAAGTTATCTTAAAAATACAAAATACAAAAATTTTACGTCTGCATTTAATTTCAAGCAAATAGGAAAATAATTCTATTTTTATTTATTTGAGAGGAAGGGAGGGGGGAGGAGCAGAGGGAGAGGAAGAGATTTTTTTTTTTAAAGATTTTATTTATTAGAGAGAGAGAACACCAGCAGGGGGAGGGGAGAAGGGGCAGAGAGAGAGGGAAAAGCAGACTCCCCACTGAGCAAGGAGCCTGACATGCTGCTCGATCCCAGGACCCTGAGATCATGACCTGAGCCGAAGGTAGACGCTTAACCCACTGAGCCACCCAGACACCCCGGGAGAGAGAGAATCTTAAGCAGATTCCACACCCAGCACAGAGCTGGACGTGGGGCTCCATCTCACAACCCTGAGATCATGACCTGAGCCAAAAACAAGAGTCAGACGCTTAACCAGCTGAGCACCCGGGCACCCCCAAATAACTCTATTTTTAAATAGCTTTTTAAAAGCATCACATGAATAAAGGTATAGAGCCATTAAAAAAACCCTTTAATTTACTCATTTAAATGCAGGGCCAAAACAGCACCTAGAGGTTTTTGGGTTTTTAAATTTTTCTTCTTTTTAAGTGAGGAGACTATTCTTCCTTCATATTCTGCCAACAGCCTAGGATCCCAGTGGCTGTGATTTCAAGTTCCAGGTGTGCTTAAACATGCTGTTAGATTTTCAGCAAAGCACTCAGTTCTTCATTAGGTTGGAGATACATGTTTATAGCTGAGTTATGAGGCCTTGTGTGTAGTCAAAAGTAATTCTGTTATTTGGAAGTCATCTAACAAATAGAAACCTTGTAAAAAGGCCATCAGCTCTAAGCTAGAGATGGCTCTGAAGTCACACTTCAGCTTCTGGTATGGACTTCTGTGACTGTGTATATGGTGATCGAGACAAGGTTCAAACTGGATTGATTGAATTCTGGTGCCTACAAGATAATTTGTCCCTATGTTTTCTTCCTGTTAAATTAGCTTATTAACTTTCGAAAAAATGTACTGCAAATTTAATGTCATTTTGCTATGCAGAATACTTTCTGTGCATTTTTAAATTTAATCCTCAACAACGCCATGGCATGAATACTGTTACCATGACTCTTTAAAGATAAAGCTTAAATTCCTTACCCAAGATTACAGAGTTGGCACATGGCAGAGCCAGGAGGACCACCAGCTTGCTGATTCCAAAGCCTTTTGATTCTTATAATCCTACCCATTGCTCACTGATACCTGATTGCCTGTTCAATCTCTGATACCGGGTGATGGAAGGGCATAGGTTCACTTTTGTTTTAACTGATCTACTTTTATTCTAAGGGTACTTAAAAGCTTGATCAGAATCTTGTGAATGGGTTTTTAGTTAAAAATGAGAATTTAAGATTAAGAAGAACGTAAATATGCATTTGCTGTGGTCTGTTTTCCTATTAGTAATCTTTCAGTTCTGATAAACCAATGACATTTTATTTTTTATTTTTTAATTTTTATTTATTTATTTTTTTTGGCATTTTATTTTTCAGGTCCTAAACATGCAACTTTCAGATGGAGGACAAGGAGATGTCCCTGTCGATGAAAACAAACTCCACGGTAAACCTGATAAAACCTTGCGCTTTTCCCTCTGCAGTGATAATCTGGAAGGAATATCTGAAGGTGAAGGGGTTACTTCATTCAAAGAGTTGTGTGATTCAAGTAATACTTTGTTTTGTGATCTTTAAAGGAGCCTTATAAATTATAATTATACCATCTGTTCCTCAACCTGAGGAGAGTAATGAAGTTTTCCTCTAATGATCTTGAATAGTTGGCTATAAAGATTGTTTCTGGAATAAATTAAGATTGCAAGAAAAAAATTTAAAAAGAAAAAGATTGCAAGAGACCTTTGATCATATAAAATGGAGAATATACAAGTCTTCATTGAGACTTGAATAATGCCAAGTTTCTCTAGTATTAATTAATGTATACCAAAGCTTATGGAGCTCCTTTAGAGGGATATAGTGCATGTCTAGATGGGAAAAATGGACTCACTAGTATTTTAGGATGTTGTGTATACTTTTAATGTTCCATATTTCTTTATTCATACACATACACCTTTATGAAACAGGAAGATAAAATGGAAATGGAGTAATATTAGAAAATTAAAAGGGTAGATTGTGAAGTGAGAATTTGTCATTTCATGTATGAGGACAGACTTTTTTAATGAAAGTTGAGTTTACTATTTTTATTTTTTTTAAAGATTTTAATTTTTTAAAGATTTTATTTATTTGTCAGAGGAAGAGACAGAGCGCGCACAAGCAGGGGGAGCAGTAGAGGGAGAAGCAGGCTTCCTGCTGAGCAAGGAGCCCGATGCAGGACTCGATCCCAGAACCCTGGGATCATGACCTGAGCTGAAGGCAGACACTTAACCGACTGAGCCACACAGGCGTCCTAAGTTTACTATCATTTTAAACAAAACATAATAGCTTTTCCTTTTTTCTTTGACTTTTTAGAAGTAATGTACATTCATTCTAGAAAATGCAGAAAAGAAATGGAATCATCTGTAATTTTACCATTCTGTTTTTTTTTCTTGGGTGTGGAGCCCAACATGGGGCTTGAAATTATGACCCTGAGATCAAGACCTGAGCTGAGATTAGGAGTTGGATGCTTAACCAACTGAGCCACCCAGGAGCCCCTACCATTCTATTAATAACAGCATTTTGGTTTATTTATAGCAAAAGTAGGTTTATGTTGTTTTGTAACCCTTTTTTGTTTAACAGTATAGCAGTGACATTTTCCTTTGTAATTTAACATTCTTAAATATCTTAGGTTCTTAATGGTTTTTTTTCTTTAACTTCAAGTGGGGATAATTTAAACATTCTTATATGATTAAACATATAGATTGTTTCTGCTTTTCAAGCATTATAAAAAGCCCTTTGAGGGCTGCCTGGGTGGCTCAGTTGGTTAAGCAGCTGCCTTTGGCCCAGGTCATGATCCCAGGATCCTGGGATCGAGTTCCACATTGGGCTCCTTGCTCAGCGGGGAGCCTGCTTCTCCCTCTCTCTCCCTCTCTCTCCCTCTCCTTGTGCTCTCTCTGTCAAATAAATAAAATCTTTAAAAAAAGAAAAAAGCCCTTTGACAAGCAACTTTAGATGAATTTTTGAATTGTTTCCTCGGATAAATTTCTAGAAGCACAATTGCTGGCTTAAAGGGCGTGTGTATTTTTAAGGTATGGATGCAGTATTAAAAGCACCTTGGGACACCTGGGTGGCTCAGTTAGTTAAGCATCGCACTCTTGAGTTCGGCTCAGGTCATGATCTCAGGGTAGTTAGATTGCACCCTGTGTTGGGCTCCGTACTGGGCATGGAGCCTTCTTAAGATTCTCTCTCCCTCTCCCTCTGCCCCCCCGCAAAATAAAAATTTTTTAAAAGCACCTTAATAAAAATATGTACATAAATAAAAGCACCTTGGGGCCCCTGGGTGGCTCAGTTGGTTAAGCATCTGGCTCTTGATTTCAGCTGAAGTCATGATCTCGGGGTTGTGGTATCAAGCCCTGCATCCGGCATGCTCAGCAAGGACTCTGCTTGAGATTCTCTCTCTCCCTCCGCCTCTCCCCATGCCCCCTGCTTGTATACTCTCTCTCTCTCAAATAAATACATATATAGAATTAAATGTACCTTAATCAGTCTTCAGTCTGTTATGAAGGCATGAAAAGTTGTATGGTGGCTCATGACTTTTAAAAAGCTCAATTACAGTATAAACATTTCTCTAGGTCCATCAAATCGCTCCAATTCAGTATCCTCTCTAGACTTGGAAGGAGAGTCTGTATCAGAACTTGGAGCAGGACCTTCTGGAAGTAATGGAGTTGAAGCTCTACAGTTATTAGAGCATGAGCAAGGTAAAGTGAAGCTGAACACAGTTGCTCAAGTAGCAAAGAATTTACCTGGCTGCAAGATAAACTGTGTGTTTCCATGTAGATTGGCTGTGTTCAGTAAAAGAATTAAGTTTAAGTTGATTATATAATGACCATTAAACTTGCATTTATTCATAGTTCTTTCAGTTCTTAAAAATGTTTAGTTGGTAAATGAATTTTTTAGGCTTAAGCTACATAGAATATTTAAAATGAATTGCTTGAATTCTATAATAGTTAGCATTTCAATTCTGTAATATTGACATTTTAAGGGATACAAAGATAAATACTTGGGGTTAAAGGAACTTAGAATAGGGAGAAGATGGTATACAAATGTCTAAAAGTGTTATAAAAGTGCCTTGGCAGTTCTGAGTGAGAGATGCATGTGGTTGAAAGTGTAGGGGAAAGCTTAGTGGAAGAAAATGTTATAGCCTTAAAGCCCGGCTCACATTGCGTTGGCAGAAACTCAAGATGGGGCATTCTAGGTGAAGGAACAGAATAGTATAAGCAAGTCAGGGAAGTGGGAAACCATAGTACTTACTCAGGAACTATCAAATATGGGAATAATGTGGGGTAAGGATTGAAAAGTAGATGGATACATATTGTGCTTTAAGAAGATTAATTTGAAAAAGTTCTTTAGATTTGTTCATTTAAGGATCACTGGTGGCCTTTGAGGGAGTGTTGAGGGCAGATTGCAGATCAGCTGGGTCTGAGACCGGAGTGGGCATAAAAATTACCTGGGAAACTAAAAAAAAAAAACCATTTCCCATGTCTCATTTCTGGAAATCCTGGTGCAGTTCATTTTCATAAAGGAAAAGAGCATTGCCAGTTGGGATATGTGTGGCTTAAATAAAAGAAATATTATATTTTACTGGATTAGTTTGTCATATCAGTTAGGATTAAATTTTCTGCAAATAAGAGAGAAACCTAAAATAATACATTAAGACAGAAGTTGAAAGAATATCACTTAAGCTCTCTAGGTGATTCTGATGTAGGTGTGGCTGTTCTGATATAGGTGGTTGGTGGTCTACATTTTGTGAGCACTAGGTTAAGAAGTAAATTGAGACAAATTATAGACTGCTTCTCATTAGTCAAGGGAAGAGAGAAAACTCTAATATCAGGGGGCTGTATTCAAGTCAAATGAAGAAAATATTTTAGTATGGGCTTATCAGTTAATTATTTCCAGAGTAATTGCTACATAACAAACCATCTCAAAACTTAGTGACTTAAAACAACAAACATTTATTTGTGCTCTCAAGTCTCTGGGTCAGCTGGGTGGTTCTGATTTGGACTGGGCTGACTCATGTATCTGCAGTCACTGGTGGTTGAGTAGGGAGCTCTGCTAATCTTAACTGGGGGATAGTTGGTCAGTGAGGAGAGCTGGCTGCTCTAGGATGACCTTTGCTTTGTTCCATGTGGTCCCTCATCCACCAGCAGGCTAGCTTAAGCTTGTTCTCATGGCAGAACCAAGGATGAAAAAGAGGGCAGAATTTTATAAGGGTTATAGGGTTTGAGGTTTATAAGGGTTTGAGGCCTAGCCTTGAAACTGGCACACTTTTTTACTCTTTTAGCCAAAGCAAGTAAGAAGGCCTGTGCAAATACACAGAGAGGGAAATACATCCCATTTTTTTTTATTAGCATATAATATATTGTTTTAGGGGTACAGGTCTGTGATTCATGAATTACACAATTCACAGTGCTCACCATACATAGCACATACCATCTCCAATGTCCGTCAACCAGCCACCCCATCCCTCCCACCCCCCTCCACTCCAGCAACCCTCAGTTTGTTTCCTGAGATTAAAAGTCTCTTAT